ACATAGAAAACCCTAATGAGAAAACTACTGAAACTAATGGAAAGATTCAGCAGAGTAGCAGGATACAACATACATATACAAAACTCAGTTGGATTCCCATATACCAATAAAGAGAACGATGAAAAGGAAATCAGGAAAACAATACCATTTATAATAGCCCCTAAAAAAATAAAACACTTAGGAATAAATCTAACCAGGGATATAAAAGACCTATACAAAGAAAACTACAAAACACTACTGCAAGAAACCCAAAGGGATCTACATAAACAGAAAAACATACCATGCTCATGGGTAGGTAGACTCAACATTGTGAAAATGACAATTCTACCCAAAGCAGTTTACAAATACATTGCAGTCCCAGTCTAAATACCAACAACATTCTTTAAAGAGATGGAAAAACTAATCATTAACTTTATATGGAAAGGGAAGCAGCCCCAGATAAGTAAAGCTCTATTGAAGAAGAATAAAGTAGGAGAACTCGTACTACCTGACTTCAGAAACTACTATATAGCTACGGTAGTCAAACAGCCTGGTACTGGTACAATGACAGATACATTGACCAGTGGAACAGAATTGAGAACACAGATGTAAATCCATCCACCTGCGATCACCTGATCTTTGACAAGGGCCCAAAGTCCATCAGATGGGGAAAAGACAGTCTTCTTAACAAATGGTACTGGCAAAACTGGATGTCTATCTGCAAAAAAATGAAACAGGACCCATACCTCACACCATACACAAAAACTAATTCAAAATGGATCAAAGACCTAAATATAAAGCCAAAAACTATAAAGTTTATAGAAGAAAAAACAGGATCAACACTAGAGGCCCTAATGCACAGCATTAACAGGATACAAACCATAACCAACAACACACAAACCCCGGAAGATAAGCTAGATTACTGGGATCTTCTAAAAAGTAACCACTTATGTTCATCAAAAGACTTCACCAAAAGAATAAAAAGAGAACCTATAGACTGGGAAAAAATTTCTGGACATTACAAGTCAGCAAAGGTCTAATCTCTAAAATCTACAAGAAAATCCAACACCTGTACAACAAAAAGACAAATAATCCAATTAAAAAAATGGGCAAAGGAAATGAACAGACACTTCTCCAAAGAAGTCATTCAAGTGGCCAACAGTGATCACTAGCCATTAGAGAAATGCAAATTAAAACCACAATGAGATACCATCTCACCCCCGGCATTACTGGCATGAACCAAAACACTGGAAATAACAGATGTTGGAGGGGCTGGGGGGAGATGGGAACTCTTATGCACTGCTGGTAGGAATGCAAAATGATACAACCATTTTGGAAAATGATATAGTGCTTCCTTAGAAAGCTAGAAATAAAAATACCATACGATCCAGCAATTCCACTCCTAGGAATATATCCTAGAGAAATAGGAGCCGTCACACGAATAGACATATGCACACCCATATTCATTGAAGCACTGTTCACAATAGCAAAAAGATGGAAACAACCTAGATGTCCATCAACAGATGAATGGATAAAAAAACTATGGTACGTACACACAATGGTGTATTATGCAACGATAAAGAAGAACGATGGATCTGTGAAGCATCTCATAACATGGATGAAACTGGAGGACATTATCCTGAGTGAAATAAGTCAATCACAAAAGGACAAATATTGTATGAGACCTCTACTGTAAAAACTCATGTAAAAGTTTATACATAAAAAGAAACAATCTTCGTTGTTTACCAGGGATGGGAGGGGTCAGGGGGAAACTAAATAGACAACAGATTATTGGTAACTTTGGTGATAGGTAAGACAGTACACAATACTGGGGAAGCCAGCACAACTTGTACAAGGAAAGGTCATGGAAGCTCCATAGACACATTCAAACTCCCTGAGGGACTGAATTGCTGGGCAGAGGGCTGTGGGGACCATGGTCTCAGGGAACATCTAGCTCAACTGGTATAACACAGTTTATAAAGACAATGTTCTACATGCTACCTTGGTGAGTAGCGTCTGGGGTCTTAAAAGCCTATGAGCAGCCATCTAAGATACTCCACTGGTCTCACCCCTTCGGGAGCAAGGGAGAATGAAGAGGGAAGGATACAAGGAAAAGATTAGTCCAAAGGACAAATGGACTACAGCTGCCATGGCCTCCACCAGACTGAGTCCAGTACAGCTAGATGGTGCCTGGCTACCACTACTAACTGCTCTGACTGGGATCACAACAGAGGGTCCTGGACACAGCTGTAGAAGGATGTAGAACAAAACTGTAACTCACAAAAAAAGACCAGACTTACTGGCCTGACAGAGACTGGAGAAACCCCGAGAGTATGGCCCCTGGATACCCTTTTAGCTCAGTACTGAAATCACTCCTGAGGTTCACTGTTCAGCCAAAGATTAGCCAGCCCCATAAACAAAACGAGACTAATGAGGCACAACAGTCCAGGGTCAAGGACTAGAAAGCCGGAGGGCACAGGAAAGCTGGTAATAGGGAACCCAAGGTTGAGAAGCAACAGTGTTGACATGTCATGTGGTTGTTAACCATTGTCATAAAACAATATGTGTACTAACTGTTTAATGAGAAAAACTATTTGTTCTGTAAACCTTCATCTAAAGTACAATTATTTTTTTTTATTGAGCTGTGCACTTACACTATAGGCACTATTCTCTATGTAGGTTATACTTTTCAATAAAAATTTCTAAAATTAAAAAAAAAAAAAAGAAGTAAAAAGTGGATGGAGCAAGGCCCTGATCCTGGAGAGGTGGAGGTTAAGCTATAGGTACAGAAATCACTATTAAACTGAAAGCACATCCCTAGGCTGAGCCTGGAGAAGTGAGGGTGTGGCCATATAGACACATTTGTTGGTCTGGGAGCAGGACGCTGAGGGAGTCCACACCTGACAGATTCAAGGTTCTCAGAGGAAGCAAGTGGAGCCTGGGTATGAGAATGGCCGAAGGATACAAGGGCATTGTGGGGACTGGGAGAGGGAAGTGACCAAAGTCACAGAGTAAAAGACTTGCTGAGGTGGATCCTAGGGCCAAGCTGAGATTGTAGCAATTGCTTTTCACTTCCTGAAGGTCTTGGACCACTTTCAGCCTGGGGCAGGAGGTGGGCAGGGTGGGATAGGGAGGTGAGGTGTAGGTTTGCTAACAGTCAAGTTCAGGTTGTTTAATACAGTTAAAAGCCAGACTCAAGAGAAGAATGGAACTCCATTTTATTAGGTAATGTTGAGCATCCATCCCTTAGAAACTAAGGCCCATTCTGAGCACAGGCCCCATGTGTAGAAGGAGGGGGTTTTACACTTCCCAGAAACACTAACTACTCTTCTCTTCCCTCATAATAAACCCCTTCACCTGCTATCATATCAGTGTCTTCACTGCTTTGAGGCTCAAGGATCCCAATCACAAAACCCTGACAGCAGCTCAAAAATAAGGGTGACAGAACTAAAACAATTTCTAAGGCCAGTTCTTCAGACAGGGATTGGACTGGACTGTGGGATATAAAGTGATACTCATGAGGAGTGTGCCTCTTAGCTCAAGTAGATACAAGGTGAGATGGGAAGGCACAGAGGGCTAGGAGGTGGTTGAATGGACATGGGCAATCAGGGGTGGAAAGGAGGAGTGTGCTGTCACAGTATGGGGAGAGCAATTAGGGTCACATAACAATGTATTTATAAATTTTTGTATGGGAGACTAACTTGAAATGTAAACTTCATTTAAACTACAATAAACAAAAAATAAAAGTTTTAAAAAAAAAAGGAAGGAGAAGCAAGCAGAGAGGGGGAGACCTCATACCACCAAGAAAGCAGTGCTGGGAGCAGAGAGCATCCTTTGGACCAGGAGTTCCTGTGTGGAGAAGCTCCTAGTCCAGGGGAAGATTTATGACAAAGACTTTCCTCCAGAGCTGAGAGAGAGAGAAAGCCTTCCCCTGGAGCTGACATCCTGAATTTGGACTTCTAGCCTACTAGGCCGAGAAAATAAATTTCTCTTTGTTAAAGCCAAAAAAAAAAAAAAAAAAAAGGGTGATATTTGTAAGACAAACTCCTGACTCAAGCCGAAATCTCTCCATGGGACAGATGATGTGTCCTCAAAATCAGCACTTCCTTAAAAATAATGTTCTTCATATACAACAAGCTACCGGACAGAATTCTAGATCTGCATACATAAAATAAAAAATACATAAGGATGGGAAATAGCAAGTGCATAGGGCAATTTAAAAATGACTAGGGGGCTACGTATCTGTTAGAGTAAAGACATAAGCCCACCCTGCAGAATGCAGGGCTTACCACAGGATGGTAAGCAGAGGCAAAAGCAAACATGTACGTCTTCTCTGTTCATACCTTTCTTGGCAGGCCCTGTCCAACTTTTATCAAAGGAAAGGACAACGGTTCCAGTCCCTCATGTTTCTGTGCTCCTGACACTTTCTGGAAATAGAAAGGGGCTTTACCTTCACGTGGATGATACAGGATTTGAGAAGCCCCTCCACTCTGACCTAGTATCAAGGCCCAGGGCACTAAACTCAGGAAGGCCAGTTCTGACTTGGGCAGGGGGCCCTGGAATGCTAGCAGCTTGGGGTAAAGGCACCTTTGCCCAAAAAAGTCATGGCAAAACAGCTAGAACCACATGAATAGATTTCTGGTATTTCTCTGAGGATTCAGCCCATGTTGTGAGCCATGCTATCTTCCACTCTACATGGAGAAACATTTCTCCAATTCACCAATGGGGAAACTGAGGCACAGAGGAATCAGGAAAGAGGAAGCCAATCAAGTAGCGAAATTTAACAGAAAAAGACCCAACTTTTCCAACCTTCCATCCCTACGCTCTGTTCTTTAATTTGTATGGGGATTTGGCTTTGACCACTAAGATGGCAGCATCCTAGAAATGAGGACGAGCAGGGGTAATATTTTGGCAAAAATCCCCAAAGAGCATTTAGGAAGAAGGGCTCTTTCTAACAAGACGCCAGATACAGTTGTATTAGGACCACTATTTTGGGAGGTGTGTCAGTTCCCTCTCCTGGGCCAGTCCCCGCACCCCAAAGTTTCTCTCTTTGCCACTTCAATAAAGTTTCTCTTTCATGTGAGTTCTCTGATGTGTAATAAAATTGGAGCTATTGCTGAAGCCTTTGCCACACTCCGGGCACTTGTAGGGCTTCTCCCCTGTGTGGATTCGCTGGTGTATAATGAGAACCGAATTCCAGCTAAAGCCTTTCCCACACTCGGGACACCTGTAGGGCTTGTCTCCCAGGTGGGCTCGCTGGTGCATGACAAGAATGGAGCCCCGGCTGAAACTTTTGCCGCACATGAGGCATTTGTAGGGCTTCTCGCCTGTGTGGGTCCGCTGGTGTACCACCAGCTGGGAGCGCTGGCTGAAGCATTTCCCACACTCGCCACACTTGTAGGGTTTCTCTCCAGTATGGATCCTCTGGTGCTTGATGAGGTTGGAGCTCCAGCTAAAGCTCTCCCCACATGTCAGGCACTCATAGGGCTTCTCTCCTGTGTGCATCCCCTGGTGTGCGATCAGACTGGAGCTCTGGCTGAAAGTCTTGCCACACTCCCCACACTTGTAGGGCTTCTCCACCATGTGGGTTCTCCGGTGTGTGGCCAGATTGGAGCTGCGGCTAAAGCTTTTCCCACACTCACTGCACTGATAGGGCTTCTCTCCTGTGTGAGTTCTCCGGTGAGTGATGAGAGCTGAGCTCTGACTGAACCTCTGCCCACAGTCCGTGCATTTGTACGGCTTCTCTCCTGTGTGGACTCTCTGGTGTCTAATTAGGTTGGAGTTGTAACTAAAGCTTTCACCACATTCTTTACATTCATAGGGCTTTTCTCCAGTGTGGATTCCCTGATGTGTATTAAGGCTGGACCGGTTGCCGAAGCTCTTTCCACACTTGGGGCATGAGTATGGCTTCTCTCCCGTGTGGGTTCGCTGATGAGCAATGAGGTTGGGACTCCTGCTGAAACTCTTTCCACACTCAGCACACTGAAAGGGTTTCTCTCCTGTGTGGATCCTCTGGTGGGTTATAAGGTTTGCACTCCGGCTAAAGCTTTTCCCACAATCCCTGCATTTATAAGGTTTCTCCCCAGTGTGAGTAGTTTGGTGTCTACTAAAGTTTGAACCATCACTAAAGCTCTTTCCACATTCGTCACATTTGTAGTATTTCTCTCCCGTGTGGGTCCGCTCGTGTGTGATTAGATGAGATTTCCGGCTGAAGGTTTTCCCACACTGAGGACATTCATAGGGCTTCTCACTCAGGTAGGTACCCTGAAGGCCTATGAGCTGTCCAACTTCCCTGCCCTGGGATGGCATCTCTACACAGTCCTCACCTGGTACGTTTCCCTGGGGCCTCCTAGAGCCACAGTCTCTCTCAAAGTCACTTTCCCAATCGCATTGCTGAATGCCTTCCCCTTCAGGCATTTCCGAGAACATCTCATGTGATTCAACTTCCTCAAACATGTCTTGATGAGAGTTCTCCCCATTTTCACTCTGGATCTCAAAATCTGAAATAATGAAGAAAAACATACCATTTATACTCAATTCCCTAAATATGATGAGAAAACCCATTGCCATCAAGTCGATTCCGATTCATAGCTACCCTACAGGACAAAGTAGAACTGCCCCCATTGGGTTTCCAACGAGTGGCTGGTGGATTTGAACTGCCAATCTTTTTGGTTAACAGCTGAGCTCTTAACCACTATGCTCCATGATGAGAAAAGGAAACCAAAAATGAAATTTTTAATTAAACTACTATTGAAAATAACCAAATCCACTGCCATCAACTTGATTCTGACTCATAGAGACCCTACAGGACAGAGTACAACCACCACATAGGATTTCCAAGGCTATAAATCTTTACAGAAGCAGACTGCCACATCCATCTTCTGCTGAGTGGCTGATAAGTTCGAACCACCAACCTTTCAGTTAGCAGCAGAGCGTTTTTAACCACTGCACCATCAGGGCTCATAGTGAAAATAAAGAGGCTAGGAAATCCTCAAAACTTTTTAAAACCAGGTTTATTTCCTTCTCCTTGGTTATCTAGTTGCTAGGCCTCACACATTTGTAGTAACTACCCAGAATTTCCAAGTAAAGATTTGGGTTATCTCTCTACATGTTTCTTCACTGGGCAATGAAGTCAGGTGGCATTATAGATTGAATTGTGTCCCCCAAAAACATGTGTTGTAAATCCTAACCTCTATGCCTGTGGTTATAATCCCATTTGGGAATGGGTTGTGTTTGTTATGTTAATTAAGCATGATTAGCGTAAGTTGTATCTTGAGTCAATCTCTTTTGAGATATAAAGAGATTAAACAAGCAAGCTAGAAGCAGAGATGGGGTAAGACAGATGCCAAGACACATGGAGATAGCCAAGGAACCAGAAAGCAGAAGCTGAAGGGACAAGGACCTTCCTCCACAGAGAGAAGGCCTTCCCCTAAAGCTGGCATTCTGAATTCGGACTTCTTGCCTCCTAAACTGTGAGAAAATAAATTTCTATTTGTTAAAGCCATCCACGTGCAGTATTTCTGTTGTAGCTGCACTAGATAACTAAGACAGGTGGGAATTTGAAACTGCTAATCAAAGGAAAGCAACAGGGTATACAATGACCCCCAACATTCAGCATGGCACCTGGTGCATAACCAGTTGAAACCTTGTGGCAACCCCAAATATGTCAGAGTACAATTGTGCTCCATAGGGTTTTCAGTGACTGATTTTATGGACGTAGATGGCCAGGCATTTCTTCTGAGGTGCCTCTGGGTGGACTTGAACCTACAACCTTGTGGTTAGCAGCCAACTGCATTAACCATTTGCATCATCCAGGGACTCCTGCCTGGTGCATAGTAGGTGCTCAATTAAATTGGATGAATGAATGAAAGAGATTTTTATTGGTACCACAGAAATTTCCCTAAAACTCAGTCTCCTTACAAAAGGAGCAATAAATCTTTTGCATTAAAATCTGTCTGGTGTTTGTAATCTCATTATTTGGCATTTAAGTAAGACAGAGACAAGGTGACAGGGCCTACATCCAGGACTGCAGGTGTCTATGCAGAGGACCAGAAACAATTAGGTGGGCAGTTCAGAGTCCTCCAATTTGTCTGCAGTGGGAGTTTACAGAGACACCCTTGACTGGTAATACAAAATATCTACTTTCCAGGAACTTGTCAAACTCTCTGCTCCTCAGTACTTATTAAACACTTGGGTGAAAGAAATCATTAGAGAGGACTGCTAGAAGGATATGCAGCCCCTTCCTTAGACTGCTGCTGGGTGCCACTGAGTCGATTCTGACTCATAGTGACCCTATATGACAGAGTAGAGAGTAGAACTGCCCCATAGAGTTTCCTAGGCTGTAATGTTTACAGGAGCAGATTGCCAGGTCTTTTCTCCTGAGGAGCAGCTGGTGGGTTCGAAATACTGATCTTCTGGTTAGCAGCTGAGTACTTAACCATAGTGCAACCAGGGCTCCTTCCTTAGACTAAAACCGAAAAAACCAAACCCACTGCCGTCAAGTCAATTCCGACTCATAGCAACCCTATAGGACAGAGTAGAACTGCCTCATAGAGTTCCCAAGGCTGTAATCTTTTTTTTCTGTTTTTTTACTTACAATTACAGTTTTATTATAAAGAATACAAAAGAAGAGATGCATGGGGTAAAGTCTAGGAAGAACTTCAATGCAGAGCCTCCATGTTCCCAAAGACACGTTACTCTCCTGTGCATTGATGTCTATCACCATTCAGGAAGCTCACCTGAGCTTCAGTGTCCAGAGTTTTTATCAGGGCTTCATTACATAGGAATGATAAATTGATTCACTGCCCATGTGACTGAACTAAATCTCCAGTTCCCTTCTCTTCCCTACCATGGTATCACATGGTAGGTCTCTGAATTCCACACCCTGAGTCACCTTGTTAGTGTAAACTATGAGGTGAACAGGGGCAGATTAACCAGTAAGTAAGGCACGCATCAGCTTACATTAAGCAAGGTGCACACAGGCTTACTTGTGCTTACTTACGAATCTGTGGCGCACAACTTCATCTTTGATGTGGTGAAACCCATGTGAAATTGTGCACCACAGATCGCAAGTAAGCACAAGTAAGCCCATGCGTTAACCTTGCTTATTGGATAATCAGTCCCTGGAGGTGAACTCTGGAGTTCATCACAAATAACAAAGATACTCCAATCACTAAGGAAATTCCAGGGGTTTAGGGGTTACATTTCAGGAACCTGGGACAAAGACCAAATTCTTTGGGCAAAGTAATTCTTCACCCCACAATGTCCACGTGGATTTCCCAATCAAAGACATAGCCTCAGCCTCTTGGCCTTGTTAGTTACCTTTTATGTTTCAATGAGCTTTATGCCCTCTTTACTGTGTTTACTACTCATATAGCCACCATTAGGACTCTTATATAACCTAAAACTGCTCTCATCCTCCAAAAAGCCCTTAAACTATCACATCCTACTTTTTGACCCTAACCTCCTGCGCCCTTGGGTCATCACTCCCACTTCATGAGATCTTTGGACTCATAGTTACTTCAGGCTCTTGGCTGTTCAAGTTTCTCTTTCCCCATCAGTAATTATTGTTGTAGCCACCATTTATTAAGCTAAACTTACTATGGGCCAACCCACATTTGATCCAAGGCTGTAATCTTTATGGAAGCAGACAGCCACATCTTTTTCCCGTGAAGCCGCTGGTGGGTTTGAACCACTGACCTTTCTAGCCGCTAAGTGCTTAACCACTGTGCCACCAGGGCTCCTCAGACTAGCGACTCTAAAATCTGTTCCAGGATTACGTCAGACCAGTAGAGAGCTGTGCACCTGATCACACTGTTCTGACCCTTGGCAGAGCTGTGTTTATTGAACTGTGTGGTGGTTTACTGGCCTTGGCTGGCAGTGAAGTAACTGTAAGAAGTAAGTGTCATTAGAAATAAATGGCTGTCAGGAATATCAGTGCTGCCAGGAAGTTGTTGTTGACATTGTTTATAGCACACAATATACCTCTTTATGAGCCCAAGGAGGAAATATCCCTCTGACCTCAATACCAAAAACAGCTGCTCTTCTGAATGACTGGTTTGTGTTTGTCTCGTGCCGCTGGTTGTGGTTCCCTCTTTGTCTTGCCTGCTTGGACGCTCGGAGCCGGAAGTTCAGAGCAAGAATACTACATATTTTTTACAGCATGCATTTTGTGTCCTTTCATTTCATTTTTTCCTCCCATTATTTTTTGACTATAATTTCCTTGTACTTTATTTCTGTGAGGTGTCTCGATCCTTTGGAATTTGAATACCATAGAGTGTACAAAAATTGATGCTTTTATTGATGAATATGATCACCTTATGATAGCCTTATTATCCCTAAGACCTTATATGAGACTTGCTGAGAAAGCAGTTCCATCCATAGCAGGAAAGACATTTAGTGAAATAATTATACAGAATCCTAACAACATTTCTATTATTAAAGCTAACAAATTGTTTATTTAAGGTTAGATGCTTGAGCCGGTGATAACTAGTTTCCGTAAGTAAATGTCAATTGTCAGATATGGGCACGATAAAATTTTACATGCCTCTGTCAGGCAGGGCTTATGCTTTAGTCAAGATCAGATCTTATATAAACTTGCAAATAAACATATGATTACGCTGAATGTTCAAACTGACATACATTGTTGCTGGTAGGTAATCTCTGGGCTCAGATCACTGTCCTTTGGCCCCACTCCCTAGATCTCCAGGGGCTGGATACAGACATGAGGGGGGGCAATGCATGCTCCCACTTGGCCAGGGCCAGGACTTCTGTGCCTTTCTCAACTTCCTGGAAGACAGTTTTCTTCAAGTTTCCAGCACAGAGCTCTGCTACCATATCTCTTTGATAAGGACCTCCTGGCCAATGCCCTGATTTATTTTCAGCAAGCTAACATGAGCCAAAATAATTTGATGACTTCAGTCATTGTTCTCTTCTGAATAAGGTCATTAGTTAGGGTTAGTGACTAACAGTGCATATATCCATTCAGAGATTTTCTAATTTTAACTACTACTTCTCATTTAATTTTAGCTAATAGGGGTTTTCACTGCTTTAACATCAGAAGAGCTGTTACGTTCTGCTATGAGTGCAGAAGCAACAGGGAAAGCAAACAAACAAAACCCCAAACTTCATTTTCCTTGAAATTAGGAAAGGGGCTTCCAAAAACAGCAGAGATTGGGCAGAAGCTGTGAGGGAGGAAGTGGTAAGAACAAGCCTGGAGAGTAGGAGTGAGGAGGTCAGCAGTGATAGATCTCAGAAAGGTCCGGCAGAAAATCACTTCCTGAAGGCAAGGGACTTGCCCTCAAGTGCAACAGTGCGTCTGGGAAGTGGGGTAAGCCAGGATGGCTTCTTTGCTTCAGAGAAGCAAAGGAGGTGAGGCTACCCCCAGAACCACACAGATAAGCCATATACACAGGAAGCTGTCTTTCTGTAATGCAGAGAAGGAGAGAGCCTTTCACTCCCTCACATTAATCATCGGAATTATTGTTATTGCAAAAAGTGA